CGCTAGTTTCAACAAGACCTTAACAAACAATACATCAAAAGAAAGCTTAATAACTGCAGTTTACGATAAAAATGTAATTTAGACGATTTTTTCATTCAGTAAGTATCAGGAGCTGGTAAGGCGTGAAACGACCGAGGGTCCTTCTGTTGAATTTATCGGGTATTGGATCCCACAGCACGAGCAAAATGACTGCACATCTTATTCACAAGGCATCAATCAAAAAAACTGTGTCAAGCTTTTCCGATATTCTGATTGGCTGTCTAGATATCCGCATCTAAAGAGTTAGAGTAGCGTAAAATATGCGAAATGTGTTGCGTAAATGGACACAACGTGAAAAACATTTCAATTATCAAAATTTCCTGACACTTTCGTTCGTCATTATCCCTGGCGAAATTTCACGAAAATCGGTCAAATCTACATACCCTATAAATTCGCTCAAAGTGGGTGTATTCCTCTCAAAATCAAATGCGAGATTTTAGCTCCTAAAGGTTTGTAAACAACTAGCACCACACAGGAGATTATCTCGCCTCCTGAAACCGGGAACCAATGGGAAGACAGTGGGAAGACGGGACCTCCTGGCGTCATTGACGAAAGTATCGCATAGCAGTCACATTTTTTTTTGTCTCACTCTGCTCGACGTTAAGTAATGGGCAAAATTAGCAAAGAAAAGACCCGCGGCAAAAAAGGTAAAGCTAGAGAAATTGTTGAAAAGCAAAACAGACTGAAATGAGTTCCCTCAGGTAGGTTTATTCATGACTTCATACGATTCGAGGCGACTGCCTATGTTCTGTATCAAGGCCGATACTTGCCAATTGAAAGGAACTTCGTTTTTAACCTTATGTAGGACAAAGGTAGATTTGATGGCGACTTCTTTGTTCGTAATTTGGCTGCCAGCGTACAGAGGAGTGCCAGAACTGGTATTTTTTCCTGATAAAATGGTGCCTTATCTTTCTTATTTAGGCCTGTTCTTTTTCTTTTTCTTTTTCTTTACCCAGGAACTCCTCTCTAATTTTGAGTTCTGTTTTTTTATCTATGAGAAAACACTTTCCCCTAGCAGAGAACTTTCACGTAGCATGAAATTGCCGCGAATATTCCCCCAGGAGGTTCGCCCATTTACGAGATTATGACGCCCCCCTAATTTATTAACTTTTACTTAAAAATAAGTTTTCCTAAATAAGTCGGACGCTTTTTGGGATTTTAAAATTTTTCTTTTTGCAAACATTAGGTCAAATGTCTAACTTCAATCTGGTTCAATAAAAGAAAAAACGATTTTTTCGGCCTCTGAGGGTGTGAAGTAACCTTGAAGGTTATTAAGAAGAAACGCATGTATCTATAGTTCCTCTAAAGTGATTAACATAACGTAACGAGGTACTGCATTGTTCACAAAATTAAATACAGTAAATCAGGCAAATTATGCAAGTTTTTCAATTGAAAAAGGCGAGTAATGTCATTAATATTTTATTTCTTACTTTTCGCAAGATAAAGAAACTTTATCGGAGGTGTACAACTCGTCAAGTTGAGGGTTCGTTCGAGATGGAAGGCGTGAAGGTACAATTCCTTTTAAGCTTCTTGTTGATTTCGTTCACAAACGGAGACATTCGAATGATAACACCAAACTTCAAAGCGGTTAAGTTCGCCATAGAAATAAGAGGAAGACGCCTCAATGGAAGTGTTATTAGAGAAATAGAAGTGGATTCAGAGGGTTCTTGTCGACTGCAGTGTGTGGAAGAAGAATCATGTATATCATACAACTTTGGCCCCAGTAAAAATAAGAAGAAGTTTAAATGTCAACTAAGCGACTCTGATCGATTCGTTGGACTCAAAAATTTTACCAAAGACGACGAATATCTTTACCGAGGAGTCAAAGTAATTCAATGATTTTTTAATTAACCTTAGAATAATAGAATCATCTCCCAAATGCTTCTGCTCAGATTTTTTAAAAGATGTAGCTGATTCTGATATCTGAGATGCGGACGTCAAAAAATTACTTGTTATGAAAGCTGAAATTTATGTATGGCATTTGAATTGAATTTCTCATATGTGAATTTAAACCAACAGCTAATTTATTGCACAAATTTTTTCGCAAGGTATTCAAATGAAAAACTATTTGTGTTTTAAGTACTTTACAATTCGTCTTCAATATGTGGAAAGATAAACGAAGCCTAAAGGAAAATTGAAAAGTACT